CTTTAATAAGGAAACCATTGTTCGTGCTAATTTAGAGCAATTCAACAGTATCCGAGGCTTTATTACAATCAACCTCGAATAATGAAGGGGCATCACCCTCGGATGTCGACTTTGTTACAAGGAAGATACTTCGTACCGACAGGGTATCGATAGGTAAAGCTTTGTAAGGGCCAAATGGTCAAATGAACAAATTCCATGTAGATTACTCGAGCCTTAAAGGCAAGCATGTACTCATGTATAATCTATTGAGAGAAGTATTTTTCCTTGCCAAATATTTCATGCATCAGAGAAATTTTTACTTTACAATTTCATACTTTTGGTCTGTTGTGGAAACAGGCTTAAGGGCCGATCACAACTGAAGTTCAAACAACTTACCCTGTACTCGGGGACTACCGTCCAAAAAATCAATGTAATCGAACTGCTAAAATCTCGAGATCATAAGACCATAAAAAGGCAACCCTTGTTTTTATAGGCCACGGCCACCCCACTCGGGGACTGACAGTTCGAACAAGTTCGAAGTGTAATCGGGAAACAAACCCAAGAGGCAAAATCCAAGTTAAAGGCTACAGCCAAACTAACACGGTTCGGAGACGTCCGAATTCTGTAATGAAACAGGCTTTCTAATATCTTCACAAAACCGGTTAAAAGGGCTACCCTCAGCAAAATTATAAAGGGTTTCGATAACATCAACCCTCGTAAACCCTAAAGGGTACCAGACTGTTCGAACAACCTTATTTCATGCTAAGGCATAAGAAATTTCTATATGGTTAATTTTTTTAGCCAACAAGGGAAAAAAGCCATTCTTTCAAGGTCACACCAGCCTAATTCAAAAGGCCTAAGGGCCATGTTATTTTTGAGTTCGAGAGATCATCCTCACTTAATTACTACCTAAAGGTTATCCTACTTCGAGTTCGAGCAAGACTCGACATTAGTTAGTTTCGGCCCAAATCGCCTGAACCTCTAACCTATGAATGCAATTTCATAAGGCATAAATAAAATAGAGTAAAGAAGAAAGGAAAGGGAAAGAAAAGACCTTTTATATATCAAAAAGTTATTTACAAGGGCAACACGGCCCGATCGGAATTTCCAAAAATACCCTAAACACTTAATCTTCTCTAGAAGCAGCATTTTTGTCCTCAGAGCCTTCTCCACTCCCGGAATCATCATCACCAGAAGAGAGCAATGCTTTGGCTTCAGCCTTAAGCTCTTTTGCATTCTCGATCTCAATAGCAAGGTCAAAGCCGCGAGCGTGAATCTCCTCAAGAGTCTCTCTTCGAGATTGGCACCCGACATGCTTGGCAACCGAGTATGCTCGAATCTGAGCAGCATCGACAACTTCTTTTGATCGAGTTTGAGCGGCCTTGGCGTCAGATTGGTAGACAACCACGATTGCCTCAGCATCGGCCTTAGCCGTCTCGGCCTTAGATTTCACCGCTGCAATCTCTGTGTCCAACCGAGCCTGTAGCTCCTCAATTTTCTTGACTTGTTCTAAGTTCTTCTCTTCCATGCCTTGGAGTTGGCTTTCGGTTGAGGATAACTGAGCTCGAGCTGCCTCTTTTTCTGAGGCAAGGCGGTCCACCTTTTGCTTCCATAATGTAGTCTCCGCCTTCACCTCATCTACCTCTCCTCGGAGTTGCATGATCGTTTCATGCAGCCGCTGGACCTGTGAGATCGAATCATTAGCCATCACTCCCAAATCGAGATCATAAGAGTCTAAGACTTTGTTTACCCGTTCGGTCAGTTCACTTTGTTCTTTCTGGGCCACGACCAGCTCAGCTTGGAGGCCTTTTATTTCTTTTTCTTTTAGCTCACCGAGAAGCCTGAGAGCATTTTTCTCCTCGGTAAGCCCTTGAATTTCAGCCTCATATCGGCTCAACTCTCTTCGAGACTTAAACAAAGCCTCATGATGAAGTACTGAGGCTTGCACAAACAGAAGGAAAAGAATTAGTCAAGGAGAGAAAAACACAAGTATGAAGACCGATGTTAACAAAGAAAGTTAGGGCTTACCCGATTCAAAGCTTGCTGGGCCTCATTGAAGAGACACGGTGCTCCCACCTCATCTATCAGAGCTTCATGTCCCTCGGTGACTAGACCTTAAAGGGCAAAAACTCGTACATCCTTCGGGAGCGTAATAATAATAGTCCATTTGCACTCGGAATCGACACCGGGGGCCGAAAATTGGCTGGTCAGTCTGAAACTCGAGGAAGATTCTCCCAAGAACCTCCTCGGTATTTTAAAGTCATTCAAGCCAGCGACATTGTCTACCCCAGCAAAAAAAACTTCGAAAAGGTCCTACCCTCCGAGGGCGCCTTCTACCTAAGGGGCCTTCATGAACTGAGCCTCTCGAATTTCCCCTTCTGAGAGTGAAGGAAGCAGCGGGGAGCCTCTGATTTCTATTGTCCCAAGTGAGTCACTTGGGGCGTTCTCTTCATTTCGAGGGGCCTCGGAACCAGCCCCTTCGGACATACCCGCCGACTGCTTATTTTGGTGGGAGACATCTTCGGTCTCCAACAACTTGGGGACTTTGCCCGAGTCCTCTTCCAAGACCCCCTCGGTTCGAGGCGGAATCTCTTCAACCCTTACCGACTCAGAGGTCTTTGGGGCCTCGGTATTCCTCTTCACTTGGCCCACCAGCTCGGAGCTGTCGTCTTCATTTTCTTCTTCTTCCTCCCTTAGTCGTTGAACTACCTCTACAGGCAGGGTGACGGTGTCTTTCTTTGGCTTATGAGCCAAATTTTTCTTGGGCTTTGGATCCTTGGAGGTTGAGACCCTTTTTCTCTTCTTATACTTCACCGGTTTCGGTACCGGGGGCAAAGTCTCCTCCTTGCCAAATGGAGGCCTCATCGGCACATCCTTCCCGAGACCTGTAAAAGAAAAACAAGTATGAGGAGAAATTCAGAGAACGATCAAGGTTGTCGAGATATGTGACAACTTACCATGGTTTTGGTCCTCCCATCGGCCCTTCGACAATTCACGCCATACACGCTCAGCATGTGTAGACGTTGATACCAAGCTCCTGACCCAATTCTCTAGATTGGGAGTAGCACCCGACATCCAAGCAACAGTTGCACCAAGTAAAACACCGGTAAGAAAGGATGAAAAAAGAGAAGATAATAAACAGAAGTTAAAAGGTGGAATTATACTCACGTTTTATATGCTCTCGGCTAGGATCAGGTCCGAGGTCTTCACTCGGACAAATCGGCCCATCCAACCCCGGTCTTTGTCCTCATCCGTGCTCAAGAATACCGCCTTCGTAGACCGACGTTGAAGTTTTGTTAGCCCACCTCGATAAAGTCAGGGGCTATAGAGACGAATGGGATGATTGAGGGTGAAAGGAAGCCCCTTGACTTTGCTCACAAAAAATCGAAGTAGTGTCACTATCCTCCAAAAAGAAGGATGAATCTGGCCGAGGGTGACCTCGTACCTCTTGCAGAAGTCCACATTGATTGGATCTAGGGGGACCAAATGTGAAAGGGTAGGTGTAAACACTGAAAACCCTTCGCATGCGTAGTGATTGACTCTTCGGGCGAGGGCACCACCACGTGCTTGTCTACCTAGTTACAGTCCTTTTTAACTTGCTTTAAAAGGCCACCGATGATTGTGCATATGTACCTCGACATCGGCTCACATCGGCCCAGAACCGAGGAGGTCTTTTCAACTTTGAAATTGGAGTCAAGGATACACGGCAGAGGAAAAAATTCTCCAGGGAGTGGCTCTGCCGCTGGTTGTTCGTCGGTCGGCTAAGACGGGGAAGCTTTTTCTTTCTACGGCACAGTTTTGGATGTTTTCGCCATTTTGGGTTTGAGTTTAAAGAAAGAAGAAGAGAATAATACTTGGTGTTTTGAGAGAAAATTGATAACAAAACCTGGAGATTATGCAGAACGGAAAAACTTAAAGGATGTAAAAAGCTTTGAAAATGAGAGCAAAGATTAAGAGTAAAGTTTGGGCAAAGAGAAGGAAAGTGCATTTGTAGGATGAAGATGACGGTTCAGAATCGATAATGGCCGACAGTAACTGACATGCATTTAATGCCTCGATATACGAACCAACGGGACATTTCGGTCGCCTCTGCCGCTTACGTCACGATGCTTACCTCATGGTAAATCGAGGGCAAATTCGAAGCCTCAATTCATTTCTTGTCATTACACTCCAAAAAACGAGAGGACTATTTGTATACGGCTAAAATCGGGCCCATCTGATTTTACTGATTTACCGGGACCGGGGTGAAGGATCGAAGACTAGGCACCAAGCCACGAAGACTGGGTACCGAGTTCGGGATTCGAGATGCTTGTTGAGATCGAGGCCAAATGGGACAGACAGCGGGCAAGATCGATGACTGCATAATAACGGAAAGGCGAGATATTCATGACTGGTCGAAGATCATGGCGGTAATCTCGGAACTGATCAAATCAAGGGCGGTTGTTTAGGCTAATTATGGGATTTACTTCCGCAATTAGAATTGTACCATAGATAGGATTCTTCTACTATATAAAGAGGGTTCTAATCATTTTGTAATCACTTTACATTCACGCATTTCAAAGCAATACAATATTGTCTGTCTAGCTTATATTCTTGTTCATCAGCTTGCTTATTTCTTAATTATTCGGGCACCGACCAGTTTGAGGGCATTCAAGCTCGAGGGCTAAATTACGTTTCAACACTGGTTTGCTTTATCTCATTGTTAATTTCTATCATTGATTTTCATATCGTCAATTGATATTAGGTGAAATCACGTGTCCTTAAAACCAAACAATCTTGTATCACATTGAAGTATCACCAAATCTTTCCTTTCCCCTTACTGTGTTTCTTAGAAACTTTCAAAGCAAGCGAATTTCTTACCTAAGGTCCAATATGGCAAATAAAATCATGGAAAGGGAGTATCTAAGATTTCCTTTCTCCACTTTTATACCATGAATGAAGAAGCATACGTAAAGATGAAAGAAAATATCACCAGCTGCAGTCGATACTTGGGTACCAGAGAATATTCCAAGCCAAATGCGTGAGAGAATAAAAAGTTTCTTGGCCATTTTAATTGATCATTAACTTGGTAGTCTTAAATCATTAACTACTTACTATAGGGTGCACACAGTCTACAACTAAATAGCGACAAATTGGAACAGAGTAGAATGCTAATGTCATTATCATTCTAACGGTGGCTTATTAGAAAGGATTACGATAAGTAGAAGGCAAAATCAGACTTGTCGAGTATGCAGAAAAATGCCCCTTTAAGGAACTGGCCGCTCAAAGCTCCAGGAGAGTACCGACTGAAATTTACTCGGAGGTATTTTTGTATGAACAATTCCTTATTCCTCCCTCTTGTCCTCTTCCCAAAGCAGCTGCTTATCTGTTTATCCGACCACATATGCCTCTTTATGCTGACTTAGTGGCTCCTCTATCTGCAGGGTTAGAGGCAATCTTTTGTGATGGTACATCTTGAGCATTGGATTAAAGCCAGGTGATACTGAAGGCTGAAGCTGCAACTGACAAGAAAACTGGCTAACCTCAAAGAACTAGAAGCAGTTTTTTCTACTGATGCAATGGTGCATCTTCCTGAGACTTGAATAATAAATCGATCTCCATTTCTTGAGTAGCACTTTGACTCTTCTCTGTAGCTGTTGTAACGCCACTTTCAACAGGAACTTGAGCCTTCCAAAATGGTGGTGGCCAAGATATTTGAGTTGTATGGACATTATCTTTGCTATGGGGGTCCTCCATGCCTCTGATCTGGGGGGATATATCTAATGAATCGCCTAGTTTAGCAGGCTTGTCCCTCTCAGACGAAGTTCCTTCAACTAAATCAACTCTAGGTGTCGATGAACGGCCTGTAGCAATGGTAGCTGTAGGAAAAGCCTTCTCTGGTGGAACGACAGGTTTATAGCTTGATGGTAGGAGATCATCCCAGTTCTCCAAAAGCTCCTTGTACACCTTACGAAGAGTAACCTCAGTGAGTCCAGTCACTTTACATATTTCAGCCTGGGTTTTCCGCTTGTCTTCCAGTTGACAGGCCAAATATATAGCAGCAGCGGAGATGCTAATAGGATTCCTTCGTGTGCAAAAGCATTTATTGATGATTACCTCACCAATGTGAGTTGCCAGCTCCTAAGGCAATTGTCGTGCAAGATGAAGCCAAAAGTGTTAGTATATGTAAAGGAACCTTTAAGTATAAGTAAACACTAACTTGATGAAATAGATAAACACAGTGAACTATCCGACATGAGACGATTTATTATTAGTAGTCTCAAACAAATTGATCGCTAAAAGAGAGAACTTTTCTTTTGGATACTAGTTGATTAATTTGTTAATTTCACTAGCCTCTAGATTTGACCAAGGCGAACTGATTACTAGCTTTTCAATGAACCAGCTAGGTACCTGAGCAGATTTATTCAGCTGAAGAAGTGTACAAAACCTTGGCATATGGACTGATATAGAATTACTGTTGATAGGTTGACTGAGTTGTAAAGCTTCTCCAAGTATCTTTATGTACTTCCCAATTTCCTTCTGAGGTAAATTTGCTGCAACCGATATTTCCTAGTTATCAAATAATTCAAATTAGAGAAGCTTTTAAACATCAGATTCTCATGCATTATAAAGTTTATGAAATGGATGCCAGATTAACATGCGGATATAAAAGATAAGCATATAGTGGGAAAAATAAAACTTGAAAGGCAACATTTTCTTATCTAAAAAAGAATGTTTGATTATTTCAAGTTAAACAAGGTATACAAGGTACAATTAATAACGATGGACAGACCCAGATCCAGGTGTTCCAAGGTTTCTCATGTTACCATATACCAATATTCGCATAGCATGGTATCAAGAATGACAATTCTGCAATCTTGAGACTATCTATCTATAACAAGTATCAACAAAGTTGATCTGTTTAAACACAAGCCCTTGACCATAAGAGTTGTTTCTGAGACAAAGAAGCGACAACGATAGTAACCTGCAAGGTCAGCATATCCTGCAACTTTCGATTCATAAGGTGTCAGGTGATGACCATTTTGTTTGGCTTATAGAAATTAAACAAGAACTAGGGAGCAGATACCTATTAACCACTTTATAATTATCAGCAGATTTAGTGCTCATGATCAAACTTTCATAGGGTATTTTTGTTGCAAATATGCTGTAATTCCAGGTTTAGCAGACTGTACTCACACAAACTAGTGAAGGGAAGAAAAAAGGAAAAAAGAAAAGTACATGATTTTCCCTACCCTTTTTGGTCCTAAGAAGACGAAGAAAAAAAACAGTGGGAAGAAGGGGAAGAGAAAAGTTCCCTTGCCCATCAAATATTTCCTCCCTTTTCTCAACTGTTAACCCTCGCTGTACTTTTCTTTTCTCTTCTCTTCTCCTGATTTCCAAGACATAAGGTATCTTTCAATTCCAACAAGAAATAAGAAGAAGAAAAGTAGTAAATGAAAGAGAGAGGTTAGGAGAAGGTAAAATTTTATCATGATTGAAATAAACCCTCGGATGGAAATAAGCTTGAATAAGAGAACCAGAAAAGAAATAGTGACATCCAATGAGCTGAACGTCACAAAGATTTCACTGAAATCAGATCATGTTATGAGAAACCCAAAATTCTGTACCTATTGATTGAAATGATAAACCAATGTCCAATAAGACGAGAACTAAGTTCTGGTGTGTTTCTCAAGAAAATGGACCTTAGGTTTAACTCAGTCTAAAAGCTAGCTCATAAAGTAAAGATTGTCCAAGAACATATAGGGAGACTACAATACATACTTTTAACAATGTTTGGTACAGACAAAATCTTTTCCATGGAAGATCTGAAAAGCATTTTACCTAATAATATCATGTTTTGAATAATCTTCTGGTGTTGGTTGGGTATAAAATAGGTGACATATGATAATCATACAAGGCAGATGACAGGTATAACCAGTGGGGAAACCATAATTCCTATGACCTAAAGCAATTTTGAACCCTCTTTACTACTATACTTGAATTTTTTTTCATGTCAAGGGGATTCAACAACTCACATATAACCAAAAAAGATTATTTTTACTCTATTTATGTAATGTAATTTTCTGATAAAGCTTCACTCTACCTAGTTCCACCCATGGGTATAGCAATACTAGTTTGGTGAATCTTTTAGCATTCGAGATTGAAAACCATATCTACATGTTGATTTAAGCAAATATAAGAAAGCGAGGGTTGTGATACTTGAAAAGAAAAATGACTTCCACCAATAAGTTAAGAAAACCATTTCTCCCTTTTGTTTGAAAATATTTTATTTTCCAGTAACTTAGAACTTCCCAGAAGATATTTTCTGTCATACCGAACACGTTAACTCTTTTTCCTATACGATACAGTACACGCAATATATTCTCCGCTAATATTCGTTACAGCAATATTTATCAAGATGCCAATAAGCTGAATTTAGTTCAGACAAAAGCATAGCTTAGAGCTTGATACATATTTAACATACCTGAAGAGTTCTTGGCTCTTGGGCTTCCCTGATAGCGTGAACTAGAGCAGCAGTAGCAAGCGCCTCAACGCTTCGATTCCTTAAGCACGTCGCCGACGAACAATCTCTGAAGAGCTGAAACGCGTGGTCCGAAATATCATAATCCAACCGCAGAATAGAAGCCACGTCAATAATCTGCAAATAAGCCCTAAGATTTTCCACAACAACGGATGACGTAGACGAACTGGAGGAGGAAGACGACGTCGTTTCAAGTACTCGTTCGAGCTCAGCAAGGTGACCGGCGAAAGAAATGGAGGATTGGGCAAATACTGGGTAGGGTTCGAGAGACCAAGTGGAGAAAGCTGTGATGAAACCTGTTGGCTCAAATGGGTCTTCATCGTCGTTAGTGGTGGAGATGGGAAGAGTAGGGAGGTCGGAAGTGGCGAGGCACAGAGGGGAATCTTGGGCACGGGTGTGGAAAAGATGGTGGGATTGAGTTAATCGCTCCTCCACTACACGGCCGCAGGATGTGCACTCGGTTATCGGTCTGCCGCTGGTGCTGGTGGTGCACCGCCCTTGCTCCGCCGAGCAGTACGGACACCGCATTTTTTTCGACTTCAATTAGTTAAGTGTGGGGGCTGGAGTAGTGGTCCTACTTTGGAACCAATAATTTGTTATAGAGTTTGGTTATCATCTCTTTAATAATAATATTTATAGTCTGCTGATGAGTATGATTTATCAACTTAGAAGCATTTTGGAATTTATCAAATATCAAAATGCTAACAGCAATGTTATGTAAATTTTCTTTCATTATGTTACTCAATTTAAAAGTTATCTGAAGCTAATATTATTAAAATCAAATTATAAAAAATATTTAAATTCTCTTTTTTTATATTAAATATCAAAATAATCATAAAATACTTTATAAATTAATTTGACCAACTTTTTTTTAATTAATCCAAACAGCTTCATAGTCGATAATTATGTCATTTCAATGCCAATCAACGAGATTGTCTTAGATTTTTCTCTCTTTTTTTCCCAAAAAAATAATGTGTTAAATTTGACGCTCAAAAACACCTTTGACTTTAAAAAATTAATCAAAAACAAATTACTTCTCAAATTAACTGGATGTATAGGAATTGCTACTATTTAAAGTACTAGCTTTAAGGTGCGCGCAATTAATGAATTATTAAATTTTACAATTATATTCAATTTATATGAATATTTTCTTATTAAAATAAGATAGACAAATATGTTCATGCACATTTTATAGTAATAGATAAAAACAATATACACATAGTTATTATTATTAAACAAAGATCTAATGTGATTTGATTTTAGTCCTTTTTAATTAAAAATTTAGCTTTCAACTTGCGACTCTGAATAATTTTGATACATGGTTTTAATTTTATGAGTTAGACAACAATCTTTTCTAATAATAACACAGAACAAAAGTTTAAATCACCAAGTAAAAAATAAGCAATAACTTTTATTTCTATTTTTCCCTTCTATGCCAAACACCAATAAAATTTGCTACCTTTAAATATTAAAAAAAAAGTACAATTCCACCAACCAAAACTTAATTAATTTTGCTAGTAAACTTTGTGAGTTTATTGATTAGTGCAAATTCAGAATTAATAGATCTGTACTTGTAGTCGTTCATCGTCATTACAATTAATGTGATTTATGAGATTAACCAATTATTTATTTGGTTGGAGCTCTTGTTGTTAAAATAAACTAGTATTAGTATTCGCGTGGATGCACGGACACTAATCATGTCAAATATTTAAGTTATTTGGATTGTATGTAAATAATCTTAAAATTGCCAGTAAATATAGATAATCATTGGATATTAAATACATGTAAAAAATTAACAATTTCTTCTATTTTTTTTATATCATTCTTGCCGATGTCATTGGATCCTAAAAATAGTGAGAAAGCAAAATAATAACTCATATTTATGGCAAAACAATTAAATATTGAGACAATGAATGACTCTTTGGATAAAACTTAACTTTTTTAATATTACTTGAACTCTTTTTTTGTGTGTTGATATCTCTTAAAAAAATATTTCTTTCTTAAAATTTCAATTTCTAAAATATTATTTTTCAATAATAATTATTTTTATAATAATGTAATTGAAAATATTATTCTTAATTCAAAACTCATTTTAGTTGGCTATCTAAAAATATAAAAAAAATTCTTTAGCTAGTGAATTTAGATATTTGACATTAATCATGTTAAATATCTGAGTTATTTGAATTATATGTAAATAACCTTAATATTTAAACCTTCTAAATAATTATAGATAATCGTCGGATATTAATTAAGAAACACTACATGAAAAAAGACTAACATTTTCTCAATTCTCGTAGTGATAATTTTATTACTATTGTACGGGAGGGAGTAACTTTTCTATTGCAGATAATATATAGGACGTATTCGTTTTTAGATCTTTCTAACATTTTTTCAATATTTATTTTCTTTTATATTATTTTCTATGTCATTATTTCTTTTGTTACAAAAAATTAATTTATTTCACTATAAAAAGATGAGTTTTAATAAAAAAAAATTGCCTACATATAAACTTTAGTTATACTTTTAGTCTTTGGTTGAAATTATTTCATATTTTTCTTTTGACTTTATCTAATAAGCCTAAATAGGTGCTCACCCAACCACTTAAATTAAATAATTGAATTATGTGTAATTTATATATAATTCATATATAATATGTGTATATTCGTGTGTTATCGGTATATCATCTATTTATATTAGCTATAAAAAGTAAACAATAAATATGGCCGGATATTATGTAAATATTCCATAATATTGCGATTTTTGAGTTTATCCATGATATAACTTCTATTATAATAATTTTAAAACTCTCTACTAATGTTCAAAAATATCTTATCTTTTTATTATCTTTGAATTAAAAAAAAGTAAAGAGTTTTTTCGAAATAATTTATTTACATTTTTTTAAAAAAATATTTCACGTCATACCAATTTTTTCTTTATATATACTCTTTGTTACACTTAAAAGTCGTTATAGAAACTATCAATTAGAAACCAATTTATCTCTTGTTGAGTTTGAAAAAAAAACCTTTCGCATAATAATGATTCAAAACTAATATTCTTCAACGAAAAAAATATTATACCCTTGTAATATTGGCTTGACTACATCTAAATGAAGGGGTTCAGTTTATACCCTTCTATTTCTTGAATGTGCTAAATTGAAATTAATGATAGCAATTGTATAGCCAAAGTTTTGTTATTTGTTTGATGTCCATTTATGCAAATTGACTCTTCAAACAAATATTCTTCAAGAAAAAAAAAGAAACAACTTTTTTTTCCTAATATTGACTGATTTTGTGAGCTTCTTTCTCCTGCATGTATGTTTACTTTATTATATATGTAAGTAAACTTTTATTTGGTTTTGTAAACTCTTTTTTGTTATTTAGATAAACATAGACATGTACCCTATATATTACATTTATTTTAAAAGAATTTCATTTTAATTCAAATATAGCTACAGTATTTCAAAGAACTATACTTACAGGATTTTAAATGTGAAAGAGTTTTATAGTTATTTGGAGTAGTTTTATTTTTGTTAGAGGCGAAGTAGTATTTAAATAATTATAAAAATAACAAAAGTTCCTAACATGATTGCGTATGATCATTAACCGAATTAAGTATGTACATGATANATTATATTATATTATATTTGTATTTAACTAAAATAGTCAAATATAGAATAAAGTTACCATATACAATTGACATTTATTAGCTTGCCACTTGGCTTAACCATAATATTAATTATATATGGTAACTTTTTTGCTTTAATATATATATATATATATATAGATATTTCATATCACTAATAAATTCACCAGTTTTCTACCTATTTAAAGTCTTTTGATTACTAATAAATATAAATTAATTCCCTTATATTAGTCGTATTTTGCTTATTTTACTCTGAATTCCTTATATGGCTCAAGTTGTAGTATAATGGATAGACCAAAAAATAACAAAAGATTAATAAAAGTACTTAGTTGTTTTCGTCAAATTAAAAAATGTTAGTAAGTCTTCAAAATTTTCCTAAAAATGACTTGAATCCAAAAATTTGAAATTTGCATTCCTAAAACGTATTTCAACATCAAAATTAGTTTTTTTATTGGACCTAAATATTAGGTCTTCAAATTATATATGGAAAATTTTAGTCGATTTTAATATCCTAAATATTAGGACTTCTTGTACCATATTTTAAATATGAAAGTCTTAATAAATAAAATTTTAGTTGAATTTAAAATTTTAAATATTAGAATATTAATAAAATAACTATTTTGTTCAGTGTGAAATTTATTTTTAAATAGTAAAAAAGACGAACTGTTATGAAGCAATAAAAGAAGAAGAAGAGTAATGCAGAGAAAAACAAAGAGAGGATTCTTATTGATTTGGGATCAATTACAATGGAATAGAACCCCTCTATTTACAGGGAAAAAGTGACTTAGCCACCAAGTAACAAACCCTAAAATGTCTCTAAAATATAGACATTCACCATAAATAAAATACTATTTATAACACTCCCCCTTGAATGTCTATCAAACAGATAATGTGCCTCGTTAAAACCTTAACTAAAATAAAATCCAATGGGAAAAAAATTGTAGAGAAGGAAAAAGAGTACACATGTTTAGAAATACGCCTTGTGGTTGTCTCACTAAAAACCTTAAAAGCAAAACCCAGTGGGACAAAACCTTATAAGGGAAAAATAGTACAACGCGTAATTACCCCCCCGCCCCCCGATGAGAGCATCAATTCACATTTTTGAGCCTTCGCATCCCAGTCTTGTACACTAGCTTCTTGAAGGTTGACGTCGGCAAAGATTTGGTGAATAAATCACCCATATTAATTCCATTGAATATGCTGCACCTTGAAAATTCTCGCTATCACATTACCATGCGTATAATTATAGCAAGATACAAATGTGCACAAATTGTACTTAGGATGTAGTACATCATGACCAAGAAATCTATATGCTTTAAGCGATTTAAATCCTTCAAGGATTGTCGTATTAAGTCATATAAGTCATATAATAGACTTTAATTAGATGCATATCAAATTTCATGTCATGCTAGACAAATAATATATCAAAAACTGATTGCACATATCATTGACTTTATACTTTCAAGTGTTTGAACTACATGTCCAAAACTACATGTCTTTCATATGAAACCAATTCTATTTGAATTGTGTCTCTTTTATTTGGCCAATATTTTTGTATCTATATTCGACAGACTTAAGATCCTCATCTATACTTAGCGCTATGATAGATGTCGTTGACGAACATTTTATATCGGTTCCAATATTTTTTTCACATAGACATAATATAGAGATCCATTCATTCATATATTCAGGTACCTGAATCTCTCTTGAGATTTTTTGAAGTGTTATGTCATGTGATCTTCTAGATCACTTGCCTCCTTATTATGATCATTTGCTTATCTTCTTTATCAAGAATTTTATTTGAAACCAATATTTAAGCGTACCATAGACTTTGTCCTTCTAGGACTTATTCTAATAGGAACATTTGCAGTGAGAATATAATTACTTTCTTTGGATAAGCAAATGCCTCTGGCATACTTTGCAATATATTGCACATGAATTATTCTTTTATGAACTTCAAGTTCATATTATTTTATTCGAGGA